CCTTATGACAAATTTCTAATGTAACTATGTTAAAATATGACTAATTTGTTGTGAGTTTGTACTTTAGCATCACTGCTGCATGCAGTGTTTCTGACCTGCTGTATCAATGGCACTTTCTTTTGTATTTTCAAGTAGAATTTCTAATTTTGGTGTTATATCTATGTGTTTGATGTGAAACTTAAGAATACTTGCTTTGATGCTGCCCTCAAACATAGATTTCTTTTGTTTGGACTAAATGATAAATCACTGATGTGAAGGTTTTTACTGCTTAGGGAGGTTTAGACTTGAGAAGTAGTTACTATTAATCATCTAGCAAAGCAAGAAATGGATGAAGGAACATGTGCACATTATGTAAAATAGAGTGAGAATCAGAATATAAAAAAAATCAATGTTAGGATTCATTACAGGATTAGTAGGAGATTACTTGAAGACTCTCACCCAACAAGGGGACTCAACAACCTTGAGACTTTATATCGTTAATTATATACTATTATATAAATTTATTAAAGCTTTCCTACTTTCTTGAATTGCACCAAGCCTTGTTTTTAGAACTCATCTTGAGTGACCATTGAGAATGAACTTGAATACATGACTGTTGCCTCTACTTGAAAGTCTACCTCATTCAAAGATTAAAAGAAAAAAAAGAAATTTGTCGGTACCATACTGGAACTTGGTTGTGGGATATAAATGCATCATTAGTTTTATTGATTATTCTTGTACTTTCAAATTTTGATCATATTCCACCATTTTAGTTTTTGTTGTAGCAACTACACTGGAAAATTGTGTGTATATATATGTATAAACAATTTGGTGGATATCTGGCTTAATATTTGGTATTATAGTTGAAGGCAATTTTTTGCAAACTTTATTTTCGGTGATATTGTAGACGATGCCCTTATCTTACATCTGCTAGGTGTAAATATGTTAAGTCAGCATATCCTTGTGAGTACCTTTGACACTTGAAAAGTTGTAGAGCATAGCCAAAGCATTTCTGCATAATGTGAATATGGTCCTTGACCACTGTATAAGTTTGTGGTTTGTTTAGTTGAAGATATAATTTAATCTTTTATGATTTTCCTGAATAATGGATACTACCCAGTAGATGATACCTGTTGTAGAGTTTCTAAGAACTTTTATTCTATTTCCAGGTTCATTCAAGAGGAAAGGCACTTGCTAAGGATGTAGATTTTGAAAAAATTGCTAGAAGAACCCCGGGATTCACTGGAGCCGACTTGCAAAACCTGATGAATGAAGCAGCTATTCTTGCAGCCAGACGCGACCTTAAAGAAATAAGCAAGGATGAGATCTCAGATGCTCTAGAGAGAATAATTGCAGGGCCCGAAAAGAAAAATGCAGTTGTCTCAGATGAGAAGAAGAAGCTTGTAGCGTACCATGGTATACTGTTGCACGAACTTAGTCTAAACTCTTGCTGCATGCCTTGAGGTCAAAAAAATTGATAGATCCTGTATGTTCTTTGCAGAGGCTGGACATGCCCTTGTGGGTGCACTCATGCCTGAGTATGATCCGGTTGCCAAGATCTCCATCATCCCTCGAGGTCAAGCTGGTGGGCTTACATTCTTTGCCCCGAGCGAGGAAAGGCTCGAGTCAGGACTTTACAGCAGAAGCTACCTAGAGAATCAAATGGCCGTTGCCCTCGGTGGAAGGTTGGAAAAAGAAGCATTGATATTCCAAACTTTTCCCACTCCTCTCATTTAGATTAAGATTTTATGTACAATTAACATTCTATCACTCATGTATAGCTGCTGCATTTCAGGGTGGCAGAGGAGGTAATTTTTGGGGAAGAGAAAGTCACAACAGGAGCTTCAAATGACTTCATGCAGGTTTCACGAGTGGCAAGACAAATGGTTGAGAGGCTTGGATTCAGCAAAAGAATTGGGCAGGTTGCGATAGGCGGACCTGGTGGTAATCCGTTCTTAGGTCAACAGGTATTTAAACATTAATAATTCGAATAATGTTTCTTAACCTGCATGTTTAGGCTTGCACTGATAATGGCGTGGATGTCGATTTTGACAGATGTCATCTCAAAAGGATTATTCCATGGCAACTGCTGATGTGGTGGATTCTGAGGTTAGAGAGCTTGTGGAGAGGGCTTATGCCAGGGCCAAGCAAATCATTACCACTCACATTGATATCCTTCATAAGCTGGCACAACTTCTCATTGAGAAGGAGACCGTTGATGGAGAGGAGTTCATGAGCCTGTTTATTGATGGCAAAGCAGAATTATATGTTGCATGACCTAACCAATACCCTTAAGTTTTCCCTGTTGTTGAATTATGTTCACAACACATTCAAGGAAAAAAAAAGAAAAAGCAAGTGAATAATTAGATTGACATAGCTATGATGCATTTTGTATATACATCCTATTTTTCTTATCTTGATAATGGAGATTCAGTAAATACTGCTGAGCTATTATGAACTACTAAGCTTCCTTGTTTCATTTTGTGGTCTTTTGATGCATTTTAAAAATCATAACGGAATATTTCTTCTAATGATTATTTGATTGACATGTACATGGTTTTATCTTTGGCTTTCTTCTCTTTTGAGAATTGGCAATGGAAGACAGAAATAGAGATGGTATTGTTCTTGATATTGTAACATTGTATACATGTGGATGTCCAATTTTGTGCTCAACCTTGTTGCTTTTGTTTTGGTAATATGGGAGTCCTTTTACATGTTTTAGCATTCAAAAAGCAATTTGCTCTCTTTGTGATGTTTTTAGTCTAAACTACTTGCAATTTGCTTAATCTTTTTGTTCTTTCTCTCTCACCATGGCCAAGGGGAGACATTTTTCCTATCAGTGGCTGCACCAAAAATATTGGTCTGAACTTTATGATACCAGGTTTTTTTTTGTATCAATTTAACTTAAGATGAACAAATCTATCACTGAATATTTTGTGTTCCTGATATGTCATACTTGCTAACAATTCTTCTACAGTGCACAAGAAAATAATGACAACTAAGATATTATAATTCACAATTTTTAAGTTTAGTTTTGGTTGTATATTTTTATTCAATGAAGTGGATCAAACTTGAGTTCCTTGTATTGTTTCCATAATTTTTACTCACATTAGACCATAATTTTGATCTTTTGGTGATGATGTGTTCTTCTTTGCAAAGATAAAGAAGTTATTTGAGCTTTGGATCTTACAATAATCTAATTTTATTAACATAAATTTAAGCAGTAAATTATATATTTAGCTATTGATTTGGTAATGATATTATCAAATACAATTAATACAATAACAATAACAAAACTGTAATGTTTAATTATTTAAGATAGGCAAATACAATTAATAAATTTTATATTTATAAATATAATTACTAAAATATGGTACTTCCAAATAGTACCAAACTGTTAATAACAAGTGCTGAACTTTTCCTAAACAAAAGCAGTCATCCAAAACATAGATCTTTTTCGAAGGAGAGTTGGTACAAAAAGATACTGCCTCAACCAGAGTATGTATGAGCTTTAAGGTTGTGTTCCTCCCTGTCCTTTTTTTCTACTTCACTTCCCTCTCCCTTAGAGCTCATAAGACCCTAGCAGATCACTTCGAAGGGATCGACTTCCTTGATCACTTCGAGGGGATTGGTCTCGATCGCTTCAAGGGGATTGGCCTTCTTAGGTTTATCCACAGACTGAAATAATATTTCATTCATTGATTGATTTAAAGAAAGAGTTATATCACTATTTATAAAGTTCCACCTACAGTTCATCAGGACTTGGACTCTTAATAATAATTAAATATTAAATAAATTTTTATCCAATTCTAATTGAATTAAATATGCTCAATAAATAACTGGACTAAACTGACTTAATAAATATTATTCAAAAACTTTATTTCTCATAAAAAGAATTCAACACCAAGCTCAGCGGCCACCACTCATCCATGATAAAAAAAATCTCTTTGATCTTGTTATCTTCTGCCTTGATCAGCTTCACAAACCTGACATCCACAAAAGTGTGCGTTGATCAGCATTTGCACCCACCACCTCCTATGCCGCAGATAGAAGCAGCACCTTTAATGCTTTTGCTGATGATAAATTAATTATAATCATTCACCGGTTTATGTTAGATACGGAGGATTTGAAATGATGTCTTTCAAAATTGCTCTTTTAGTTCTTTTGTTTACTTTTTTTTATTTAGTTCTGAATTATGATATTGTTTACCTCTCAAAATACTCATTGAAAAAATATACAGTAAAAAAATATAGAGATGATGATGATTTGGGCCCTATTCTCATGCATGAAATTGGTAATCTTTTATTTGCTAGTTAATAGATGGCTCAATAAAAAAAAAAAAATCTTTTTTTCATGAAATTATAGATGGATCCATGCTGGTCTGTAAGCTGAGATGAAGCATGTTATTATTGAATCCAATTCTAAAACCTTAATCAATTCCGAAAAGAGAGTTAGTTTATGTTTGAGAACATATATATATATATATATATATATATATATATATATATATATATATATATATATATATATATATATATATGAAGAAACTTAAGTGGATGTGCAGTTGTGGAATGGTCCAAGTGCTTAGTAAACAATAGATGAAAATTATATTTTAAATATGTTTTGGTGCTTGATAAAATTGTATTTCAAAAGTTAATTTAATGTTATATGATAAATATATCATTATAATATTTAAAATATTTATTCAAAATAAATAAATAATTTTTTTATTTAAATTAATAAGTCTCACACACACAGTGTTCAGATTTTTATATCTATTTTTGGATAAGAATTGCCACGGGCGAGTGATGTACTTGAACGGCTCCCAGCCATTCAATTCTACTCGACAAAAGTCACATCTCTCCCTTTTCCCATCGTAATCCTTGTCACTATAAGTAGAGCGGTCATATGAGAGGTTCAGCTTTTGCCACGCGGCACAATTTCGACCATGTTTTCTTCGTCTGCCGTGCTCCGTCGTCATTGGCGGCCACTTGTCTGCGTTAATCAGTATGTAGTATTTATATCCGCCATCTCCCGCCGCAACGATGAAAGCAGCAGTTCCTCTCATGGCATCTGCAACGGACTACGAAGTCGCTGCCTCGCAGCAACAGAGTGACATATTTCTCATCCTTTCTCTCATCATCGTCGTCTCTTCTGCCGTCTTCTTATTGAGATGGACGAGGAGACAAGGCAGGCCACCCCTGCCTCCGGGACCCGTCGGCCTGCCGCTCCTCGGCAGCCTTCTCTCCCTCGAACCCGACCTGCATCGCTACTTCGCCCGCCTCGCCCGCGCCTACGGCCCCGACTTCAGCCTCCGTCTCGGGACCAGGCTCTACGTCGTCCTCTCCTCTCCGGCTGCCGTCCGGGAGGTGCTCAAGGACCACGATGTCATCTTCGCCAACCGTGATCCCGCGGCCACCGCCACCGCCGTCCCGGGAACACAGCATGGTTTGCTCTGGAGCCCCCATGGCACTCTCTGGAGCACGCTCCGCAAGGTGACCGTGCGGGAGTTCATCGGCGGCGGCGGTTGCAACGAGGCGGTCCGCTCGCTGCTGCGGCGCGAGGTGCGGCGTGCCATCGCTCGCCTTCGTGCCCGCGAGGGGGAGCCGGTGGAGGTGTGGGAGCTGGTCTTCTCGACGGCACTCAACGTGTTGACGAGCATGCTGTGGGGGGGGCTGTCGGAAGACGGCGATGTGTCAATGAAGTTCCGGGCGGTGGTGGAGGGAGTCGTCGAGTTGCTGGGGGCACCCAATGTGTCGGACTTGTTTCCGGTGCTGGCGGCGCTGGATTTGCAGGGGATGGGGAGACGGATGAAGCGGTTGTGGGATCGTTACGATGTGCTCTGGAAAAAGTTTGTGGAGGACAGTGGGAGAAGGGGTGAAGAGGATGAGGGAAAGGGTGGTAAGGCCTTCTTGCAGGTGATGGTGGAGGTTTTAGAGAGAAGAGATCAGAAGGACCCACTCACCATGGATCATGTCAAGGCACTGTTTATGGTAATGTTTCATCTTTCCACACCTGCAACTACTGGTAACACAAATATTAAAGCATCTTCCTTGATGATCAACATAGTGTGGCTTTTTTCTTTTTTCTTTTTTCTTTTTTTGCTGAGTCAATTTTTATTATTATGTTAGCTTAAAATGTTAAAGTTAAAATTAATACTAATATATTTATTAGATCCTTAAAATAAAAATAAGTATGCAAGATAAATCTTCGTCGTGAAGCGCATGAATGATGTAGCTGAAGGGAAGTAATTTTCTTGAAATAT